TAACTTCGACATAAACGCCTAGTGTAGACCAGGCCTAATTTAACAAACTATATTAGATTCAAGCCAAGTTTTTCACCTATGCTTTCAGCAGTCTTACAGACAAACTCTTTAAGTCTAGGACCCATCCCCTATAGTTTAACTAGTTAGCTTTCTGTGTCTTTTCTAGGTGTAGAAAATGTGATGGGCAGGGAGAGAGAGAGAGAGAGGAGGGACCCTAAGGGTGTCTACCCCTCCTTTTTTTATAATCCTGTCCGCCATTTGAGATGCATTTCCAGCTGGGAGCAAGGTGAGTCTTTGTGGATGGAAACTCCATGCTTTTTCTTTGCCAGGATATAGATTTTTGTCCCTCCCCGTTTCCTGCCAAAGAACGGCCACTTAGCAGGTACTGGTCCATCAGCCTTGTTTTCACCTGGCTGTGGTGTCAGCTTGCCCTTTGTCTCTGAGGAACTAGTTTGGCCATTCCCCAGACTTACCTGGAAAACATACTTTTAGTTATGGTTTTAGTTTATGTTGATAATTTCACATATAACACTCCTACGCGCATTTTGCCATGGTATGATTGATCAGCAAATGATGAGTTTTTAAATGACACCTCAGAAGGCATGCCTTGTACAAACATTATTGCAGTGGTGTGTCGGGTGTGAACATGGGGGTGTTTTCTGTCAGTACCTTAGCATTAACTATTTCACCACTGTCCATTTTAGCCGCTGGGATAGGGAGAGGGGTGTGTGGGAAGCCCTGGAGGTGAAGTGGTAGTGGCAGAAGGGAAGGAATGCTGAGGGAAGACAGGAGGAGACCCATAAAGTAAGGGAAGAGAGAGAGAGAAAGAAAAAGGAGGATGGGGAAGGAAGATGAACAAAGAACAGAGAGAATGGTGGTCACAGTGGTGAGTATTTTCCCCACTGGGTGATGGTGAGCGCAATAACATGGCCTTGAAGAAGTAACACACAGTGATGACAATGAACAGTGAATTTACTCTATAAAGGCTGCATTCTGCTCTCAATCTCCCATTGGGGTTGGTGAGGGCTCCACTTTGGAATGAGGAGAGTGGTGAGCCCCAAATGGCCCAGAGATCATAATAAAAATGGAATTTGGCCCCCTGCACAGAATGAGTTTAACACCCCAAGGCTAGAGGGAGGAGTGCTGGGCTGGGAGCCAGGAGATCATGTGCTTTAGTCTCACCTCTAGTGTTAATGTTCCTCTGCACTTCACAGTCTTAGGGCTTGTCTTCACTACCAGGGTAAGTTGACCTGAGTTACACTACTCCAGCTACGTGAATAACCAGAGGGAGCAAAGCAAGAGGGGTGTGTGCTAAGCTCTGCCCCTCCCTTGGAGACAGACTGCAGGAATGTGCTTACGTCTGCTAGTGATTCCTGAACAGAGGGAGGATAAGTGCTTGTAGCTGGGTGGTTACCCGCTCCTGGCCTAAAAGGGTTAAAAACAGCCCTGGGAGAGGGCTGTGGCAGGGGAAAAGCTGGGCTGATTGGGGGAAGCAGCCTCATCTGGGGGCCATGCCCCCATCAGGGTCCAGCTGGCCCTATAAAGGCCAGTGAAGCCAGGCGCAGACATGGTCTCTCTCTGGCTGTAGAGGGAGATGAGCCTGGCTGCTAGATAAGGTAAGTGAGCTGGAGCAGGGCTGGGGGAAAGCCCAGGGAGCTGGGGAGCTCTGGCCTGGAAACCCCCAGGCTGTGGCCTAGTATAAGGCCAAATAGGTACTGGGGTTGCAGGGGACAGCCCAAGGCTAGGCTGAGGCAGCGGGTCCAAACCCCTCCTTCCCTGTGATGAGTGGCTTATACTGCAATCTGCCCCAGGGAGTGGGGGCTGGTTGGTGACTGACAGTAGCCTATGACTGAGGTGAGGTGAGGTGGGGATAGGGGGTGGGGGCTCCCCAGAGAGGGGAGACCCAGTGAGACTGTGGGGTACTGCAGGGGCAGCACCCCGGTCTGAAAGGGGCACCGGGGTCCAAGAGGGACTCAGGACCAAGCGGGACACTGGCCTGCAGAGGGCGCTCCTGGGTCAAAGAGCTAATTCCCAGGATGACCGACAGGAGGCGCTGCAGGGGTGAGTCACCGCCCTGTTACAGTGCTCCTCTGCCCAACTTGGATGTGGGGCCCAATCTGGGCTCAGAGGCTCCCTAGCGCCACACAAAATAATCATTAGCTCAGGGGCTAGGGAGACTCACCTGGGATATGGGAACCACAGGTTTATATCTCCCTCTCTGCTTGGGGAGGAGCAGGGATTGAACATGGCACTGATGTCTCCCAGTGGAGTGGTTTGTTTTGGGTGTTAGGCGCGGGATAGGCATCTGGAAACCTAGAGGGAGGCAGCAGAGCACATGCATGGAGGCAGAGACTTAGGCACGTAGGGAATTTGTGCTGCAGAAACTTTGGCACTAAGCAGCCAAGTGAGTTAAGGCACCTACAGGGTTCGGCAGCAGCCAAGCAGCAGTTTCGTGGGTCTCAGCAGTGCCTAAAAATGGGACTCAGGCACCAAAGCACCTTTGTGAATACCACCCCATGTCCCTATCCTAGGAGGCCAACAAGTACCGTTCTCCCCCTTCTAACAGAGGCGGTAACTGAGGACCAGAGACACTGCTCAAGCTCACTTCTAGCAGAGTTAGGAGCAGAAAGTCAGTCTCTCCTGGGGCAGACCCAAGTCACTCCCACTGAGCCACTGCCTTTTGGAATGAGTGTGCCAAATCTATGTGCTTAGCTATGCTGTCTGTGCAATGGAGCTACCCCTGCCCAGCCACGTGAACGAGGCAAGAGGCTGCAGGAAGAGCCAAGCATTGAGCAAGTCTCATAAAGCAGAATGTTCAGAGGGTTAGGGCACTGTGCCAGGGATCGCATATGTGAGGCAGCCCCTGAACCTCTGCTGTAGAGGGTGCAGGGAGCAGAGGGGCCGGGGAGCCATAAGAAAATGGGTGTCTGTGTTTGTTTTTTATGCTATAAAGCAGCAAAAAAAAATTTAAACTTTGGTGAACCCTCTTTTCCAGGGTGTTATAATTCAGCAACCACTTGTCCAATTCACATCAAATTTGGTAGAAATAGTTTACTTCAGCCCCAGATCTAACGTTCCAATTTTGAGGCTGATAGGATCTTCCTGTAGTTTATAGAGAAAAGAGTAAATTCTGCTGCTGTTTAAAAAACATCATCATAAAAGTGCACAAGGACAGACGATACTGAACTGATTCTCTTTTCCTAAATTATTTTTGCTTTGTACTGTAACTTGAATTCTTTCATTGTAAGGCACCTCCCGGACTAAGGGTCCATTTCACTGACTGTGAGAAGCTGGAAATGTCCCAGTGATCCTGTAACTGCTGGGAAGTTTCTCCTGGGCTCATGAGGTACGTGGCAGGAAGTTCTCATCCTTTAATTTGTTTTTAAAATGCCCCTTTTTCTACTTGAAAAGGTTCATTAATGACTTTAGATGATCTGTATTTATCCACGTGACCCAGACCCAGAAATTGCAATGCCTTTTCTCACACTGCATTATAAAAACAGATACAAAATACATTAAGGGTTTTTTCTTCTTGGCGACTTTCACTTTGTAATTTTACAACCAGACTATTACTCTACAAAAGTTAGTGATTTTTGTGATAATATTTTTCAATTAATTTTGCAAATGCTAGTATTAAGGCCTTTGTCCAGAATATTGGACTGTAATTTCAGATGGTGAACAGTGAAGCTGAGCTTTGCTATGTCTTGTAACATGTCCTTTGACAAAAACAGTAGCAAACATGCACATTTTGATGCAATTATTAATTAGCACATATCCTAGGGTTCATATTGTGCTCAATCAATTTGTATCCCAAATTACAGCACGTTGCTCACTTGGAATTTGTTTTTTCTTTTCCTTTCCGGTGTGTGGATCAAGTTACAATGAAGATGAGGATTTCCGTCCGCTCGCACTGTGCCATGGGCAACCCCTCTCTGTCCAGTTACCTCATTTTCCTTTTTACGATCCATGTTCCTACATTGGAATCAGGTAGGAAGCCTCTTGTCACAGAGTGTCTTCTACTTTCTCTCAACAGTTTGAATACCATTGATCTTTTGTTATTTTGAAACAATTCATAATAAGAGCATTTTATGTAAATTTGAGAAATAAAATCCTTTTTGGGGCGGGGGAGACGGGAAGATATTGATTTTTTTTTTCCACAGTGGACTGTATTCAGTGGACTTTTACATCATGTTGCACCTTAAACTTTCCTCCTGTCTCATCTTAAACTTCTGCCACTCTACCTATCACTATTGAATATTTTCATTAATGACTTGGATAATGACCTGGAGAGTATGCTGATAAAATTTGCAGATGACACCAAGCTGGTAGAGGTTGCTACAACTCTGGAAGACAGGATAAGAATTCCAAATGACCTGAACAAATTGGAGAATTGGTCTGAAATCAACAGGATGGATTTCAATAAAGACAAGTTCAAAGCACTTCACTAAGGAAGGAAAAATCAAACGCACAGCTACAAAATGGCGAATAAATGACTAGGTGGTAACACTGCTGAAAAGGATCCGGGGCTTACAGTGGATCACCGATTGAATATGAATAAGGCTACGAGTCAGTCATGGAGGTCATGGATTCCATGATTTTACGGGACCTCCACGACTTCCTGAAAATTATGATTCAGCTCCGGCGGCAGAGCTAAGGCTTCAGCCCTGGGAGATCGAGTTCAGGCTCCAGCCCCATATAGCGGGGTTTGGGCTTCCATGATTTATTGTTTATTGCCCACAGCCTGCCTGTGACTTTTATTAAAAATACCCATACCAAAATCTTAGCCTTAAATATGAGTCAACAATGTGATGGAGATGCAAAAAAGGCTAACTAAGATTTTAAGTGGTTATAAGTAGCAGGCATAGAAATCAAAGTTGGTTACCTAAGTAATAAATATAGAAATGCAGTCTAAATTTTAACTTTAAAAGACTAAGTAAGATTTGAATCAAGTCATCTCTCACCCTAACAGATGTTACAAGTAGCTTACAGTTCCTTAATACACGGATGGACACCCTTCCAGCCTGGGACCAACCTCCGTAGTTCAAAATCTTTCTCTTCCAGACCATCTTCCAGGTGTTGAGATGGAGGTGGTGGGGAGAGAGGCCAAGAGATGATGTCATCGTCTCTCTTTTATGCTTGCTTCTAACTGCTACAAAGATCCTTGCTGTGACGTGGGTTAGGCTGCTCCATGGCATACGTGCCTTCTCCAAAAAGTCTCTGAGATAGAGGGCTGGGTGTTGATGAGCTATTAACACCTGTCTGGCCAGTGATGGCTGATTCTTTGTCCCTACTGAAAGGCCAGCTGTGGACATCTCTCAACCTCACAACATATTTCAGTAACATGTATAGCAAAACTTCATAACTTCACATACAATGATGGTACATAAAATCCACGGCATATTAAGGTCCAACAGATCCAGACTTTTAAAATGATACCTCACAAGACATGTTTTGTACAAAACCAACCATAATCATGTGACAGTGGTGAATATGAGGGTTTCAGGGCACTAATTTGAGGTACAGAGTGTCACACTGATCCATCCCATCTTCCATTCCTTGTCGGCTTTCTGCTTTCTCTTAATAGTCTATCGAGATGCTTGGTCTGTAACCCTTCCCTACACATTTTTCCCCTTGCTTGAGATTCAGGCTTCAGATAGTTTCTGCAACTTTGACTTAAAGTAATTCCAAGCCTCCTCCACATTCAGATCCTTGAATTCCTCAGTCCAGCCCAGTTCCCTAATTCCCTTACTTTTTAAAATTTGCTCTTTTGAAATTTAGATTTTCCTGCTGGTCAATATTAGAATAAGGAATGGGGATTACATGAGCATCTCCCAACAGTCTGCCCCCAAGTTCCTAGTTTAAAGCTCTTTTAATCGGTTGTCCAATCCTCCAACCCAGAAGTCTATTTCCCTCCCTATTCAGGTGGAGTCCATCCCATGAGAACAGTCCTCTGTCCGTGAATGCATCCCAGTCATGAAATATCCCAAAGCCCTCCTTGTAGCACCACTGTCTGAGCCATCTGTTGATCATCATAATCTTGTCTTGCCTTCACTCTCCTCCTCTAGGGCCAGGCAGAATCCCACTGAAGATCACCTGAGCCTCCATTTCTTTAAGTGTCTTCCCCAGCTTGGCATAGTCTCCTTTGGTGCGTTTCAGCGAGAATCTAGCAGTATCATTTGTTCCCCATGTGAAGGACAATCAGTTAATTCTTTCCTGCTTCCATTAGAATCCTCTTCGGCCTCAGCTCCACATCCTGTATATTAACTTCTGGCAGAGAGCACACCCTTCTGTTCTCCGGATCAGCTCTGCTGACAGACCTGTCTGTTCTTCTTAGTAGATAGTCCCCAATCACATAGACCTGCCTTTTCTTGGTATGGTGTGATTTTTCTGGCCTTCCTCTTGTTCCTTCTGATTGCAAGTCCTCTTGTCTTTTGTTCACACTTGCAATCTTTTGTGAGTCATCCTGTATCCTTCCCCTCTTCTTATAGGACTAGCCGTTCTTCTCTTCTTCCTTGACCTCCCACCTTCTGTGACTGCCTGCTGTGCCCCTTCTTCATTTTCCAGCTCAGCAAACCTATTCCTGAGCTCTATTTCTCCTTCATTAGCCAGTCTTTTCCTCTGCCTGGTTCTCATAGTCACATGCTTCCAGTGGCCGCATTCCTCATCCAGCAGTGTCCCCTCAGAGTTCATCAGTGCAGCTTGCATCTGCCAGTCTTGACTTTTCCCTTCAGCCTTCTCTTGTTTTCCCTCCACCATCTGCTTGAATCCCCGTCAAAACTAAACAACCATAGTTTCCACTTGCATCTCCAAATCTCTCATCTTCTCTTCCATCTAGTCTAACAGGCGGCACTTCATACAAACCAAGCTCCTTTTGGGTACCCGCTTCCGGATAATTTACATCCTGCAGCTTCCACATCTGATTGTCTTCATTGTCTCACCCATTCCTTGTCTCACTACCACTGCTGCCTCTGTATCTGTCACAGCCTTCCCGCCTAAGCTCCTGTCAAGGAGAAAATAACAAATCCCCAAACGGAATCCACCCCCACCCCCCAAATGAACACCACAGCAAAAATAGACCACCACACATTCCCTTCCCCAATCTCCCACTCAAAAGCCCCTGTTTTCAACTCTGTTTCCTGGTTCCTATGCCACTAGATGGCTGCTTGGCTGCCTTTGTAGACCCCCTAATCAGGAAGCCCCACTGCCTAATCAAGGAAGCCCTGCCCCCTAATCTGAACTCTGCGTCTCTCACAAAACACTACACCCTACCAGCCTCTACAAACTGGGGGGGATAGAGAGAGAGAGAACCCCACACAGAACCACAAGAACTCACTCACTGCTCCCTATGGAATGGGGGCTTGCCTCCTTCCTTCTCCTCCCACTCAACCCCCCCTGTTTTCACCACTCCGCCCCCCCCCCCCGGCTCCTGTACCAGTCATTGGATTGTGTTATAGCTTTCTCTGCTAAATTGAAGAGCTCATTATCAAGTCATTCCTTAATCTTCTCATGGCTCTTCTCTGAACCAGCTCCAATTTATCAACATCCTTCTTGAATTGTGGGCACCAGGACTGGACACAGGATTCCAGCAGGGGTGTCTCCAGAGTGAAATACAGGGAAGTTCAGTGACCTGTGTTACACAGGAGATCAGACTAGATGATCACAATGGTCCCTTCTGGCCTCGGAATCTATGGATCAGACTAGATGGTCTCTTCTGGCCTTCGAATCTATGATGCAAAAGTTTGAATTGCACATTACACAAATGAGTCAAATATATGAAACCGAGTGATTTGAACTGAATGTGACTGACACATGCTGTAAATTCATTTCGTGTGATGTGCTACCAAGCAGAGAATGTCAAAAGTGGAAGGGGTAAAGAAGGATTTTGTACTAATTTTTATTTTTTCAAATACCTATATTTGAAAGGATACATAGCAAGTTACAAATATTATTTTTTTTCAGTTTAGCTTATGTCACTGGGGAAGAGGGTTAAGGCAAATTGAAAAAGGTCACTATTATACCAGAATAAGAGTGTCCACATAGGAGTTATACCAGTTTAATTACACCTGCATACCTAGTAAAACTTTCCCATGTAGACAAGGCCTTAAGCTGCACAGCATGTCACAGACACAGCCTCTCCTTTCAGGTGTTCTGTATCATCCTTCTCTCTACAGGCCATCTGCCTCGGTTCCAGTTTTCCACAGGTTAATTGTTCTGGTTGCAGACATTAACCAGCTCACAAAATTGAGACTGAGATCACCCATTTTTTAATTCTCTCTGGATTGGTATTGACTAGAAAAAGTGGCTGAGTTTAGCGCAAGGGTCAGCTAACACGTGCTAGCTAAGCCTGTCCTAACTTAACCTGTTTTCCAGTGCAGATTGTGACAGGGTTGGGCCAGATGGCTACAGGAGAGTGATTCTATTGAGATCCTAAAGGACCTCCCTCCAGCCTAAGGGGAGGATCCACAGGCAGTTGTGAGAGATCAGCATTCATTACCTATGAAAGCAATCCAGCTCCCCTCTGGTCTAATCTTCTGTGTGTCTCGGTTCCTTTAACAGTGAATTTCAAGGTGATTGGACCTGATCATCCCATCATGGTCTCTGCAGGTGAAGATGCCCGGTTACCCTGTCACCTCTCCCCCATCATGAATGCTCAGGAGATGGAAGTGCGCTGGCACCGATCCAAGTTCTCTGAACCTGTCCATCTGTATCAGCATGGAACAGATCAGGCTGAGCAGCAAATACCAAACTATCAGGGCAGAACAGAGCTGCTGAAGGATGGTATTGTGAATGGAAGTGTTGTCCTGCGTATACGCAACATCACCCCCTCTGACCATGGGCAGTTTATCTGTTTCTTCAAATCAAGCAGCTTTTATGCAGAAGCCACTCTGGAACTGAAGGTGACAGGTCAGTAACTCGGGCTGCTAATTTGAATTCCCAGCAGAATAATAATTTTTTTTGAGGTGGAACTTGATGTGTCTTCTTTTCATGCCAGTATCCAGAATTCACTTCAATCTGCCAGTTATTTCCCATCAGTTGTTCAGGATCCTATGCCCTGGGTATAAGCTGACAGATTTCAACGTGTGTCACTCCACACCCTGGGTGTTTTTTTCACAACTTTGTTGTGCAAGAACGGTGAGAAAGTTTATAAGTACCTAGACGGGAACAAATATTTGATAATGGCTCTTCAGTCTAGCAGAGAAAGGTGTAACACAAGCTAATGGCAGGAAGTTGAAGCTAGAGAAATTCAGACTGGAAATAAGGCATAATTTTTTAATAGTGAGAGTAATTAACCATTGCAGTGGTTCTCAAACTGTGGTCCGTGGACCACCAGTGGTCCGCGAGCTCCATTCAGGTGGTCCGCGGCTAGTTCCCTCTAAGGTGTGCGCCTGGGCAGCCGCACATGAGAGAATGAAGGGCCACCCACCTAATTAGTGAAGCCGCGCAGGCGTGGCTCCACTAATTAGGTGCTTGGGCCCTGGAGAAGATGCACATGTAACGTAAGATGGTGGCCTTGGGGGAATTAGGGGGTATGGGGGAGGGGGAGTGGGGTGAGAAGAGTGGGGGTGGGGGAAATTTGGGATATGCAGTGCTGCGGCAGCCCGAGAAAGAAGCGACTTTCCTCAGCTACAGGGTTGCGGCTGCTAGGGGGGAAAGGCCCTCCTTCCCAGCCTCAGCTCTGGGGCCTTTTGGTGATTAAACAACTAATTTTAAAGAGACTATAAATACACGATACTGCTGCATCACCCTTGCTTCATTCTTTAAACTTGTCCCAATAAATAACTGAACTTCTCAAACAAACAGGCCTGAGGCATGAATAGAGAATTACAGCACTGATTGCTGTTAAACCTTCACCTGCCTGGGTCTGAGATTGTTGACATTTAACCTGCTGGCACTTAATTTTCACCACTGGCTCAGTCTGCTTCTGCATGTCATCTCTGTAGACAATTGTCATACGAGTCCTGCTCAGAAATGTGTGTGTGTGAGAGAGCGCAGCGGGAGGCAACAGGCCACATGTGCTCCTCTCCCTTACTCTGTACTAAGGCTGTGCAGTAACTGCTCACCTGCTACTGCAGCTTTGCATTTAAGGTTTCTAATCCTCAGCCCCTCAGACATTCCATAGAGTCATAGATGTTAAGGCCAGAAGGCACTTTTATGATCATCTAATCTGACCCTCTGTATGACACAGGCCAGAGAATTTCACCTAGTGATTCCTGCATCCAGCCCAGTAACTTATGGGTCAGCTTTAGCAATTATTTTTTAATTATTTTATTTTTAAGGCAGAGACTTACAATTCCGATTGAAGGACTACAAGAGATGGAGAATCTACCATGTCTCTTGTTCCAGTGATTAAGTACGCACACTGAAAAATTCGCTCCATATTTTGTCTGGCTTGAACTTCCTGCGACTGGAATTGTTGTTCCTGGAGCTCACAGCCAGTTTAGTTGGGCTGCTCGCTCTGTTCAATGATACAGCCTATCATTTTATCCTGGAGCTGAAATTTGCTGTTCACGTTGAGATAGGCTTCCAGCTTTAGGGCTCAGGAATAATGAAACGCTTCTCACAGCCAGAGCCCGTCAGTGACGCAGCGAAAGGCTCTTGCCCTTCTGCAGGAGGGACAACGATCCACTTTTCCCTTATCCTGAAGGATTAAACGCTCACCTTCCAGGCTGAAGAGATCCATAATGCTTGTGTAGGGTTCACACAGGTTCACTCCATTTTCCTCCAGGTCTGGGCTCTACTCCTCGCATCTCTATCGACAGCTACCAGAGCGGAGGGATCCACATGGTGTGTGAATCTGCTGGATGGTACCCGGAGCCCCAGGTGCAGTGGAGAGACCTCAGGGGGCAGAACTTATCATCCCTGACAGAAAAAATAACTCAACAGGATAACGGCCTGTTTGAAGCACAAATTTCCATTATTGTAACAGAAACTTCCAGTCAGGATCTGTCCTGCTCTGTCAGGAACTCCCACCTCAACCCAGGGAAAGAGTCTGTGGTCTACATCGCAGGTTGGTGTTCATCAAAGCCACACAGTTCAGCCATTCATCAAAAAGGGGGGGGGAATGTTTAGGGCTAATTTAAATATTGGATTTACAACGTGCATGTGCATAGAGCTGCTCAGAGGCTATTCGTTAAACACCGCGCGTGGTGAATTTAGGGGAGGTTAGACTTCACGAACCGGCCTTCTAAACTGCAGAGGGAGTATAATGAAACATGGCTAATTTTCGGGGGAGGGGTGTTTAATAGTGTATCTTATTATTGTTAACACAATTAACATGCCTGGAGTTGAACTGGCATTCGCAATGGAGAGGGACTCTTGCAAAATTTCTGTAGTGTAGAAAAGGCCCTTTTGTGCAGCCAGAATGGGCTATAAAACTGGAGCTGGGAGGGAAATGGTGTCCTGTCCCTTGAAAATTTTTTTGAAAACTTGAAAATCTCCTTTTCCCCATGGGGACAAAAGTTTTCAAAATACTTTTCATTTGACCCTTTTCAAAAGTTTTCATTAAAAACAAGAGAGGACAGAGAGACCCCCACCTCACAATAGTCAGCTGATCAGGTTCTCATCTGGGATTGGGGGTCAAATCCCTGCTCCAAATCAGGGAGAGCAGGAATTTGACCCTGGATATCCTCTGTGAGTGTCCTAGCTACTGGGCTAGTGGATATTCAAGGATTTCACTCCTTCTCTGGTTTTCACCAGAAATCCCATCCTGGACCCAAGAACCCTTTCCTGTAAAAATATTTGGTTATGATGAATTGTAATTTTCTGACAAAAAAAAACAAAACAATTTAGTTGAAAAATTCCTGACCACCTCTACTTCCAACCAGTGGCACAATGCCATGATCACCACAAAAGTCCTACTAGTGACACATCTGTTCTATCAATGTTTCCAAGTTAATGAGGCTTTGTCTTACAGATCCATTCTTCCTAAGGGACTACCCTTGGAAGGTGGCTGTGTACATACTCCTGGTTGTTGTGGGTTTGCTCACTTTCACAGCAAGCTACTTCTTCTGGAAGCAACACAAGGCAAAAGGTAAAGTTATAAGGGGACACTACAGTGTACTCAGAGATTTCCTTTAAACTATACATTAGTTGAGAGTGGAGGTGACTTCTCCATAGTTAAAGATGCAGCTACATTTTTATTTGAAGCCACATTTTGCATCCTCTCTACATTTCTCAAGAAAAGTCAGATTACCCTAAACTGGGAGTTCAGGACAGGCCCTGGGGTGGAATTTGTGAGGGAAATCTGAAGTCTTCCATTACTTTTTTGCCCATATCTTGGGAAATAAATGAAGGGCCTAGGAGCCACATGAAACATATCACTAGATTCCCATAGCTAATGTCTAATGGATGAAACCAAATGCCAAAACCAATGTCCATAATTTACAATATGAAATGATGAGCTCTTCCCTTTGGAAATACGGAGTGCTAATAGAACAGGAGACCTTAGAGACTAACAAATTTATTTGAGCATAAGCTTTCGTGGGCTACAGCCCACTTCTTCAGATGCATATAATGGAACATATAGTAAGGAGATATATATATATACATACAGAACATGAAAAGGTGGAAGTAGCCATATCAACTGTAAGAGGCTAATTAATTAAGATGAGCTATAATCAGCAGGAGAAAAAAAACCTTTTGTAGTGATAATCAAGATGGGCCATTGCAGTCAGTTGACAAGAGGTCTGAGGATACTTAACGGAACACCTGTGCAGCACAGCGACAGAGACACTCACCCGTCAAAATGCCCTTAGCCTAAGGACGCTTACTGGGCTTGGAAATGAGTGTTCTGGGCTCAAATATGCCACTGATTGGTTTTGTGCACTTCACAACCCTTAGCAGAGAGCACAGCCAGGTATTGCACAGCAGCAGGGTTAAAGCAGCCCAACTTTTACGTGGAGACAAGCCCTTGGTGACTTGCCCTAACTCACACAGACAGTCTGTGGTAGAGCCAGGAATTGAGCCATGGTGCGAGTCCCAGGCGAGGGTTCTAACCCCTGCCTCTCAGGGCCCTGTCTACGAAGGTGGCCACTCCTGTCCTTAGCTCATCAAGATCTAAGGCAGAGAACCAATGATTAGCTAGAGACAACTTTAAAAATAACACCGGCAATTATTATTTCCCTTCCTGCAGCCTGGCATTATTGACTCTCACCACCCAAACTCTGCTCTGAATATGGAGCTATTCATTTCCTCATGGGCTTTCCAGTGATGCTCATCACTGCAGTGTCTGAGCCTCACAAATTGCCTGCTAGCTCTGGTAGTGTCAGTCCCATTTCCTCTCCTGTAGCCCGGTTTTTCAAAGAATCTTTTATCCTGCATAGGGGTGAAGCAATGGTGCCCAATCCTATGGGGCTGCAGACGGTCCCTTCCTGACCTGCCAGACAACATGCCAGTCTCTCTCTGTCACGATCTCCTTTCCAGCAATTCTGTATTTTTCTGTACTACCAAGTTCCGTGTGGATAGCCATTCTCAGGGCCTGGCTCCCAGTCAGGCACAGGAGGCTGTTCTCCACAGGAGTATTGAAATGGGCTGTGACCGAAGCCTGGGTAGCTGAGGAGATTTGGTTGTTTTCATGCTGTTGGGCCTAGCTCAGTACCAGTCCAATCCACCCAAGCTGATCTTTATTCCCAAGTCAGTTGAGGAGGCTGCACAAATATGTTCCAGGGTTTGGGTTCCAATTGAACAAGAGAACTTTAACCACAGGTGGGAGAATTGCTATGACAGGGAAGTGCAGGCCCCTGTGATACACAATACAAGGGGGTCAATGGGAACTATTCTAGTGGAAGTCTGTTGATATAGTTCATTACCAGCCAACCAGTGCTCTGTAGAACGTGCAGCATTTGTACTGGACTCTCCCCCTTTCTAACAAGTCTTTCCTCTTCTCTCGTAGCGGAGCATGTTGCAGAGAGAGATAAGGCTCTGCTATGGGAACTGCATTGGGGGGGTAGGGGGGCATCTCGAGCTTTGGATCAAGTTGCTGGTGCCTCCCAGGCAGCTGTTAGGGGATCCGATGAACGAATGCTCAACTTGGTGGTTATTACATGCAAAGCAGAGTGCTGCCCACCTCCCTCCTATCCTGCAAGTCTCTGCAATGCACCCCTGAGAGCCCCAAGGATGGCAGGAGTTTGCCCCACATGGACAGGCATAGGGTGTAGGCAAGTGTACGTTATAGTGACCCTTCACTCTGTCACTCACTGGGTTGTCAATGAGGTGAAGGTGTTTTTCACTTCCTCCTAAGTTTATAACATAACCTTGATGTAGATGGTTTGTTTTAACCACAGCCTCAAGTTCTTAAAGTTAACAGCGTTTTCCATTCGGGATAATTATCTTTCCATTAATTTTTATGGGACTGAAGCAGGGCCTGAGCCCGAACGCTTATGGAATTATTTATGTGATGTGCTATTAAGAAACTTACATTACATTCTGTTCTTGTTGCCTCTGCCTCTACACTCTCGCTCATGAGTTGCATCCTGGCCCATGATTCTTATTTGAACTATCCACAATGACTCCAAGATCTTTCTTGAGTGGTAACAGCTAATTTAGACCCCGTCATTTTATATGTATAGTTGAGATTATGTTTTCCAATGTGCACTGCCTTGTATTTATCAACACTGAATTTCATCTGCCATTTTGTTGCCCAGTCAAGCAGTTTGGTGAGATCCCTTTGTAGCTCTTCGCAGTCTGCTTTGGACTTAACTATCTTGAGTAATTTTGTATCATCTGCAGACTTTGTCTCCTCATTGTTTACCCCCTTTTCCAGATAATTTATGAATATGTTGAATAGTACTGGTCCCAGAACAGATCCCTGGGGACGCCACTATTTACCTCTCTCCATTCTGAAAAACTGACCATTTATTTCTACCCTTTGTTTCCTGTCTTTTAACCAGTTACCAATCCATGAAAAGACCTTCTCTCTTATCCCATGACTGCTTACTTTGCTTAAGAGCCTTTGGTGAGGGACCTTGTCAAAGGCTTTCTGAAAATCTAAATACACTTATCCACTGGATCCCCCTTGTCCACATGCTTGTTGACCCCATCAAAGAATTCTAGTAGATTAGTGAGGCATGATTTCCCTTTACAAAAACCATGTTGATTCTTCCCCAACAAATTATGTTCATCTTCGTTTCGGACAATTTTGTTCTTTACTATAGTTTCAACCAGTTTGCCCTGTACTGAAGTGAGGCTTACTGGCCTGTAATTGCTGGGGTCACCTCTGGACCCCTTTTCAAAAGTTGGCATCACATTAGCTATCCTCCAGTCATCTGGACACCAGTTCAACAGCCTGAACCCACCCCCGGATACTCTGGGATACAACCTTCAGAGGAAAGTCCTGGAATTCTTCTGGCTGGGGAAGCACTAGGTCTCTGCGGGCTCTTAAGTGCCTATACACAAATGCAAGAAGCCTGGGAATCAAGCAAGGAGAACTGGAAGTCCTGGCATAGTCAAACAATTATGTGATTGGAATAACAGAGACTTGGTAGGATAACTCACATGACTGGAGTACTGTCATGGATGGATGTGACGGGGTCTGCTTATGGGTTAAGCCCATATTATGGTCAGTGGAAGTCCCGCCTCCCTGGCGAGACTGGGCATGCTCCAAGTGCTCTAGCAGTATAAAGGGAGGGAGCCCAGCTCATTCTGGGCTGGAGGCTGCAGGGGAAAGAGCTGCCTGGGAAGCTCCTGCGGAGGGCCAGCCACAGTCATTGACTGCACCAGGAATCAAAGCCTTTTGCAGCCTGCCCGCACCCCAGTGACTAGAGGAGCTCCCAGAGACGACCAGCCCCGCTGAACACGGAGAACCCATCGCATGGGAAACACCAGCACAGTCTCTGGTAGGAAGTGACCCAGGGAGGGTGATGGAGTGGTACCTCCCGCCCGGGAAACCTCAGCGTGTTTCGGTAGGACCCCCCCGCTGAGTCAATGGCAAGCCACTACACCACTATTAGGGCCCTGGGTTGGGATCCGGTGGAGTTGGGCGGGCCCGGGCCCCCTTACCGGGGTCGTCACACCCCTTAATGGGTGCCCCAACTTTATAGACTCTGGCTGCTAGGCCACGCTGCCCTGCACCGAAGGGCTGCTTTGTAGACAGTGACCGATAGGCCACGCTGCCCTGACCCTAGGGGCGTGGACCATCACAATGGATATAAACTGTTCAGGAAGGACAGTCAGGGCAGAAAAGGTGGGGAAGTTGCATTGTATGTAGGAGAACAGTATGACTGCTCAGAGCTCCAGTATGAAACTGCAGAAAAACCTGAGTCTCTGGATTAAATTTACAAGTGTGAGCAACAAAGGTGATGTCGTGGTAGGAGTCTGCTATAGACCACCAGACCAGGGGGATGAGGTGGACGAGGCTTTCTTCAGGCAACTAACAAGTTACTAAATCACAGGCCCTGGTTTTCATGGGGGACTTCAATCACCCTGATATCTGCTGGGAGAGCAATACAGCGGTGCACAGACAATCCAGGAGTTTTGGGAAAGTATAGGGGACAATTTCCTAGTGCAAGTGCTGGAAGAACCAACTGGGGCAGAGCTCTTCTTGACCTGCTGACAAACAGGAAGAATTAGTAGGGGAAGCAAAAGTGGATGGGAACCTGGGAGGCAGTGACCATGAGATGGTCAAGTTCAGGATCCTGACACAAGGAAGAAAGGAGAGCGGCAAAATAGGGACCCTGGACTTCAGAAAAGCAGACTTTGACTCCCTCAGGGAACTAATGGGCAGGATCCCCTGGGAGAATAACATGAGGGGGAAAGGAGTCCAAGAGAGCTGGCTGTATTTTAAAGAATCCTTATTGAGGTTGCAGGAACAAACCATCCCAATGTGTAGAAAGAATAGTAAATATGGCAGGTGACCAGCTTGGCTTAACAGTGAAATCCTTGCTGATCTTAAACACAAAAAAGAAGCTTACAAGAAGTGGAAGATTGGACAAATGACCAGGGAGGAGAATAAAAATATTGCTCAGGCATGCAGGAGTGAAATCAGGAAGGCAAAATCACACTTGAAGTTGCAGCTAGCAAGGGATGTTAAGAGTAACAAGAAGGGTTTCTACAGGTATGTTAGCAACAAGAAGAAGGTCAAGGAAAGTGTGGGCCCCTTACTGAATGAGGGAGGCAACCTAGTGACAGAGGATGTGGAAAAAGCTAATGTACTCAATGCTTTTTTTGCCTCTGTCTTCACAAACAAGGTCAACTCCCAGACTACTGCACTGGGCAGCACAGTATGGGGAGGAAGTGACCAGCCCCCTGTGGAGAAAGAAGTGGTTCGGGACTATTTAGAAAAGCTGGATGAGCAGAAGTCCATGGGGTCGGATGCGCTGCATCCGAGGGTGCTAAAGGAGTTGGCGGATGTGATTGCAGAGCCATTTGCCATTACCTTTGAAAACTCATGGTGATCAGGGGAGGTCCTGGATGACTGGAAAAAGGCTAATGTAATACCCATCTTTAAAAAGGGGAAGAAGGAGGATCTGGGAAACTACAGGATAGTCAGCCTCACCTCAGTCCCTGGAAAAATCATGGAGCAGGTCCTCAAAGAATCAATTTTGAAGCACTTAGAAGAGAGGAAAGTGATCAGGAACAGTCAGCATAGATTCACCAAGGGCAAGTCATGCCTGACTAACCTAATTGTCTTCTATGATGAGATAACTGGCTCTGTGGATGAGGGGAAAGCAGTGGATGTGTTATTCCTTGATTTTAGCAAAGCTTTTGATACAGTCTCCCACAGTATTCTTGCTGGCAAATTAAAGAAGTATGGGCTGGATGAATGAACTATAAGGTGGATAGAAAGCTGGCTAGATCATCGGGCTCAACGGGTAGTGATCAATGGCTCCATATCTAGTTGGCAGCCGGAGTACCCCAAGGATCGGTCCTGGGGCGAGTTTTGTTCAATATATTCATTAATGATCTGGAGGATAGTGTGGGTTGGACCCTCAGCAAGTTTGCAGATGACACTAAACTGGGAGGAGTATTGTGTCCAGTTTTGGGCCCCAGACTACAAGAAGGATGTGGAAAAATTGGAAAGAGTCCAGCAGAGGGGACTGGATTAGGGGGCTGGAGCACATGATTTATGAGGAGATTCTGAGGGAACTGGGGTTATTTAGTCTGCAGAAGAGAAGAATGAGGGGGGATTTGATAGCTGCTTTCAACTACCTGAAAGGGGGTTCCAAAGAGGATGGATCTAGACTGTTCTCAGTGATAGCAGATGACAAAACAAGGAGTAATTGTCTCAAGTTGCAGTGCGGAAGGTTTAAGTGGGATATTAGGAAAAACTTTTTCACTAGGAGGTGGTGAAGCACTGGAATGGGTTACCTAGGGAGGTGGTGGAATCTCCTTCCTTAGATGTTTTTAAGGTCAGGCTTGACAAAGCCCTGGCTGGGATAATTTAGTTGCGGATTGGTCCTGCTTTGAGCAGAGGGTTGGACTAGATGACCTCCTGAGGTCCCTTCCAACCCTGATATTCTATGATTCTATCCTGAGCCTTTCTCTGGAAGAGGGAGGGCAGGGCATGGCATGCGTTCACAACCCAGTCCACGCTTTCCATCTTGTGGCCTTGTAGAGTCTCCTTTATACTGAACATGGTCTGACATGGAGCACACCTTCCTCAGCCACCTCCAAGGACTCTGATATGACCAGTAGCTGTTTTATCTCCATCCAAGAGATCTCCCTCAAGATCTCTCAAGGCTGATGGTCTTTCACAAGGACCTCCTCAGGACCTGGAAGTTGGTCTCTGCAGCCAGGTCCAATGCAGTCACTGAGTGTGTAGGCCACCTTGCTGAACCCCAGTTCATGGACATGTTGCTGATGTGGTTTTCAGACTCCCCTGATGTTTTTTATTGAGGTGAGATGGAGGCCCTGGCACATGAATACCTACAGTGCATCAGGTTGCAGTCCCTTTTCTGCCTCCTCCAGAACCTCTTGTTGAGGTTCTGGTTACACTTTTCCCTGCACCTTTTTATTTATGCATTTCCTATCCATGGCCCCATGGAGTTGTAGGACCTTCTCCTCAACCTCCTGTTGGCCATATATCAATCAGGGAGAAGGGGTTGGATGGGGGAGTTCCCTGTGATCCAGACTGTGGGGCTCAATTTTGTGCACTTGTTCATTCACACCTGCAGGCAGAGTTCCTCTGCATGGTTTCAACTAGCTCCCTGGACTGTTTTGGGGACCAGTGTGCACTTTCCAATGTTCTCTGCTCCGTGTCTTCCCTCTGGAACCCTGATTGTAAACCTATGACCCGCACTTCCATTCCTGTTTTTTCAGTTGTTGTTCCCCGGAATCAATTGATCCATGTGGTGTTTTTTTCTGGTCCTGGAAGCCCTTTTGGTTTACATGGGGACTGAATAGGCCTGTGTATGGAATGAGACAGAGGTCCTGTGAAAATACTACTATGTGATCATATAATTAAAGACTGTATGCATATGCAAAAGGGGCCTGAATTAAAGTTGTACAAAGAAACTTAATTCTGGCATTTTCTAATTTTGAGTGCGTGAGCTGGCAACCTAAATTACATTTCAGACATAGTTTGTTCATATAATTTCATAGGTTTTTAGTTTTTAAAAAATCTGTAATTAAAATGTCTTCACCCCACATCATTAAATTTTGCATCCCAGCCCTTTAATGCTGTAGTATCTCCTGCTACCGTTTGAGCTAAAGGACTACCTACATTAGAGGACCACAGGTGTAAGCTGCTATTCCTCCCATGGAATAGCTATTCGACGAGTTCTACACATCCTCCTGTAATATATATCTATATAGATATAGAGATATACTTCTATAGTTTGTTTTGAAAATATTAACCTTAACTTAAAGTTAACTAAGTGTTTTCAGTTTCAGTAGCTAGGTAAATGTGTATTCATTGAACAAGAGCTCTTGTAATTTGTTAGATATTAATTTCTTTTTATTTGTTTTTTAGAAAAGCTCCAGGTTGAGCTTGGTAAGTTCCTTTTATCTTTAGTATAAACTTGAAGAAATGTTGTCATACTCAGACTGTCTGTGTTCAGTAGAGTTCTCATCTTTATCTCATCTTCACCTCCAGTGAAACAGCTATTGGAAGAGTTCTACACTTTCTATCTATCTATCTACTAGACTATACAGTTTGTTTTGATAACATTAACCTTAACTTAAAGTTAACTAAGTTTTCAGTTTCAGTATCTAAGTAAAGGAATTCTTTATGAGCAAAACCATTATCAAAATGTGGACTTACTTGAACAAGAGCTCTTTTGTAATTTATTAGATATTAATTTCTTTTTATTTGTTTTTTAGGAAAGCTCCAGGCTGATCTTAGTAAGTTCCTTTTATCTTTAGTATAATACTTCTTACAGAGTTTGTCCTACTCAGACTATCTGTGTTCAGGGGAGTTCTCATCTCTATGCTTGTGCTTGTTTTCAGAATGCAGAAAAACTCAAGTATATAGAGGTAAATAATGTTTTATTAATGTCAAAATCTGACCTGACCCTAATAGTTCTCTGCTTCCCCCTCTTTTACAATGAATGAGTCTCACGTGAAAAGTAAAGGATTAAAAATTGTAATTTTAGTGGGGATGGGAAGAGACAGATGGTTCCCTAGGTTTTTTATAGACTAGGGATGTGCCCCTTTGGTAAAGTGGTGAGTAGCGAGAGGATATTTTCCCCTAGGCATTATGGGCCTAATTCTCCACTGAATTTGGCCATGTATTTTCAGGTTAGTCCTTGTTTTATGCCTAATGTTGACCCTGTATTGACATTATCTATCATTAAGTTGCTGAATATTCTCTTCCTAGAAGCAAGATTTCTATAGCTATAGTTATGGCCATGAATTTGGTAGGGCCTTGAAAAACACATCACAGACCATGAAATCTAGTCTTCGTCTGTGAAATCTGTGGGGTTTTTTGTGTGTGCGCTTTTACCCTACATGTACCATACATGGGGGAGACCAGTGTTTCTCAAATTGGGGGTCCTGAGCGAAAAGGGAGTTGCAGGGGGTCACAAGGGTATTTTAGGGGGATTGCAGTATTGCCACCCTTACTTCTGCACTTCTGCCTTCAGAGCTGGGCGGCCAGAGAGTGGCAACTGCTAACTGAGGGTTCAGCTCTGCAGACAGCAGCGCAGAAGTAAGGGTGGCAATACTGCACCCTCCCCCCCACCCCCAATAACTTTGCGACCCGCTCACAACTCCTTTTTCGTCAGGACCCCTACAATTACAACACTGTGAAATTTCAGATTTAAATAGCTGAGATCATGACATTTATTATTTTTAAAATCCTCTGACCATTAAATTGACCAAAATGAACCGTGAATTTGGTAGGGCCCTAACTATAGTGTTTTAAATGCCAGTTTCCATTCAGGGAAATATGAAGAAATTAAAACTGTTTTTTTTTCCCCTTCCATATGGATGGGGAACTGAATTCTGGTGGATATTGACAGGTTTCAGGAAATGTCGTCATCTCTTTTTATCAGATTATCATATTTTCAAAATTGCATGGTAAGGTGAGGAGTAGCGGGACCTGGGGAATGGTGACGATGGGATTTGGAGCCCTTCAGTTGTAGACTTCTTGTATAAACCCCAGCATCTGAGGGCTGATTTGGGGGTCTCTGTGCCATGAGCTGCTGGTGAGAGTTCAGGGTCTAATAGACAGGTGTACACATAGATCAAAATGATCACAGGTTTTGGGTGTACTCGGATACTAGACTTCGTCACCACCCTATTATCTGTTCTTTTCCTGCTTTGGGACCTGAATCGCATGTGCTGACCTTTATACATGTGCAGAGTCCTGTTAACTTCACTGGGACTCCATGTAGATAGTCCACAGTGACAGGCCTTTGCATAAAAACCAGATTGTTTTCATGAGAGGAGCTGTACAGAGAGCTGCAAACACAATCCTGCAATGCGCAGAACCTTATGGAGGGGAGAGGCACATCTGCCGGGATGTGCATACATTCACATCAGATGTGCTGACAACAGCTGCACAGTGCAGTTAAAGTTGCACGGTGCTGGGAAGGATGTGCCAGCATCTGCACCCACTACCTGTTCATAAGGGTCTGCAACACCCAAAAGGAGGCATGTAAGGGGACACACATACACACTGGATGCTTCTATTGCAGTGGTACTAAGCCCTTACACACAGTATGCAAATAGGTACTCAGCGCCCATTACCTTGGAGAATGGATATGTCTGCTAGGAGACATAGATAAGGCAGTGCTGTGTTGTTCCCTCCACAACCTCATTGGATGCTAAATTGTATTCAATGAGCCCCACCCACCCTCTAATGCATCATTTTCTGCCCCCAAGCAGAACTGAACCCTGAGGCACTGAGTGTTTTGACTAAATCACTTAAGCATTTTGAAAACCCCTGGGATCTTAACTTCATTCTCTGGGCCTCGTAGATTTTGGAGTTTGCCTACATGGTAACTGGAACTAAAATAACTCAGTCAGTTCTATATCACACCGTTAGTTATTCTGATGCAAATCTGTGTGTGTGTGCCCATGAAGAAGGCACAACCATAGCTGCAATGTTTTGTGAAGCTTCATGTGTGAAATTTATACAAATTATTTCTTGTGCTAATTTGCATATTTACAAATAATGTGCACCTGGTCAATACAAGAAATGGACAGCAGAAGGCAGCTCTGGAATGGTGCCAGAACACTCCAGAGTGACATTCAAGCACTTTTTTTGAATGGGGTTTCAGTGCCAGAGAAGCCCCATTCTTCCCCTTAAGCCAGGCAGGGATGCCTTTACCTCTGCACAGGCCAAAGGGTCCTGACAGGAGTGTAGTGATACCCCCACTCCTCTTTTGCTGCCCGTGAGCAAATGCTTGGACCAGTGTCAGCCGAGTACCAAAGGAGAAGATACAGCAAGGGAGGAGGGAGGCAGAGGCAGCTAAGTCACAGGACCTGTTCATCAGCCTTGTCCTGGAGCTGGCCAAGACAGCATCCATCACGTCAGGAGGTGGAAGCTGGACGGGGGCAGTGCTCTGTAACTGTGAGGCCTATTTACACTCCCTTGTCTGATCACGCCACTGGCCTCTGGCCACTGACTCCTGAGACACCTGTGAGGTGTGTGGGGGGGTGCTGGCAGGGGTTCTCTGCTCGGTGTACCCCTCCGGATCCCTCATTTTTTGCCTCACTCCTGCTCCTGGTTTCTCCTTTGTTGTCCCAGGTACTCAACTGTGACCTGGGCTTAGTGGTTCCTCTCGGTTAGTTGAGTGGATGGGCCTTAGTCCTGGGTGGGCCTAGACCCGCCCATCCCAGACCTGCAAACAGCACAGCAGCAGCTCCAGGTACCTGGGCGGAGGGAGCTGCAATTAATCCTTACCCAGCCCTAGCAGTGTCCGTTCCTGGCAGCAAGACAGAAAATTAGGGGCTGTCCTGGCCAGAGCAGGGCTGCTAAGTCCTCCCCCAGAGATGAGCTCTGCCTCTGATGCTTTGATTCTCTCTCTCAGAAGTGAAGATAACTCTGGATCCATGCACAGCTCATCCTGGGCTCAAGCTGTCTGAGGACAAGAAGACTGTGACATGGGAATCCAAACGTCAGGATCTGCCTGACAATCCCGAGAGATTTGATGAAGTTTTCTGTGTGCTGGGTTCTGAGGGATTCACTTCAGGGAAAATTTACTGGGAAGTGGAGAAGATGGGGGGAATCTGGGTCATAGGGGTCGCCAGAGAGTCTGTGAGGAGGAAGGGACAAATCAAATTTACCCCCGAGGAGGGGATCTGGGGGATAGAACAGTCCAGGGATCACTACTCAGATCTCACCACCCCTCAGGACCCCCTGCCACTGCGTCAGACACCCAAGAAGGTACGGATCTATGTACACTATAAAAAGGGGCAAGTGCAATTTTTCAACCCAGATAATGGTGATCTGATCGCCAATCTCACAGCTTCTTTCAATGGGGAGAAAATATTCCCCTTTTTCTGGGTCTGTTCCCACCTCACACTAACCACCTGAGACCTTTGGAGATCAGATTGGTGGGGGGGTGTAACTTGTTCCATTGGAGCCACAGCTCTGTCTCCAGCATTCGCTGTGGCACTGGGGCTCTCCACTGGCCCCACAGGCACAGAAAGCAGGGAACAGCCCATGTCTCTGCTGCTTCTCTCTATCTCTGTGGGGCCTGCAGAGGCCCCAGGCCCAGGAAGTGAGCAATAATCATGCTGGCTGTGTGGGGCAGGGATGGTGCTAAGTAGTGGGAACTGGAGAGAGGAAATTGGGGAGAAGGTGGGGAATTATTCTTAACTCTGACCCATGCTACAAACTATATGCTACAAACATACCAACAAGCTCTTTCAGTACAGATGCAGAACCACAACATTCTCAGCTCTGTCATTGTCAGAGTCACCCACATGCTTAGGGTGGGGTCTGGTGATTCCTCATCATCTCCCTCCCCTTTACTGCTGGGATCCAGTGATTGCTTATCATACTGCAGGGACTTGATCCCAATCCTAAAAGATGCTCTGTCTCGAAAAGATGCAGAGAGGGAACCAGATGACATTACCGCCTCCATGGCCATGTCCCACGTTAATGCATGCTGTAGTCAAACCAGCAAAGTTGCTATTTGCACTGCAACCACTGAAGGGCAGTGTTTCTGTATGCTGACTTTACACTGTTATGCTAGAAGGTGTTAGTGACTGTCATCGATCACAGATGAGGGTAATGTCCATGGGTGTGCTAAATACACTTATTTTTAAATGGAAAGAGTAATTAACCCCCTTTGTGAAGTAAGATAGCTGGAAACCATAGGAGACTAGTAACTGCTGATAGTAAGGGGGCACAATTTAAAGTTTATGGTGGTATGTGTGACGGGTTGCCAACTGATGTGCCAAGACTACTTCTGCCCCTGCTTTCCTGCCCTGGCAGCTTAGGACTTCAGTGCCCTGCCAGTCAAGTATCAGAGGGGTAGCCATGTTAGTCTGGAGCTGTAAAAAGCGACAAAGAGTCCTGTGGCACCTTATAGACTAACAGACGTATTGGAGCATAAGCATTCATGGGTGAATACCCACTTCGTCAGACGCAACGAACCAGTGCCCTGCCTGATTTGAGCCAGACCCGCTAGCCTGCTGCAAACCCAGACCCAGGGTCTGAATCATGTCTCCTAACAGCTGTAGGCTTAACTGAAAGCAGCTTACAGAAGTGTTCTTGTCTTTAACACTCAGATGCCCAACTCCCAATGGGGTCTAAACCCAAATAAATCCGTTTTACCCTGTATAATGCGTATACAGGGTAAACTCAAAGTGTTCACCCTCTATAACACTGATGGAGAGAGATGCACAGCTGTTCCCCCCCCCCCCAAGTATTAACACATACTCTGAGTTAAAATAACTTTTTACTTGTTAATTATTAAATACAGAAAGTAGGATTTAAGTGGTTCCAAATAGTAACAGACAGAACAAAGTGAATTACCGAGTAAAATAAAATAGAATACGCAAGTCTGTGTCTAAGAAACTGAATACAAATAAAACCTCACCCAATAAGCTTCCTTTTACAGACTAGTCTCCTTCTAGCCTGGGTCCAGCAATCACCCGCACACACTGTAGTTACTGTCTTTTGTTCCAGTTCCTTTCAGGTATCCTTGGGGGTGGAGAGGCTCTCTCTTTAGCTAGCTGAATACAAAATGGAGGCGTCTCCCACGGGCTTAAATATACTTTCTCTTGTGGGTGGAGATCCCCCTCCTCTCTCCTATGCAAAGTCCAGCTCCAAGATGGAGTTCTGGAGTCACCTGGGCAAGTCACATGTCCATGCATGATACACAGTTTTTACAGGCAGAAGCCATTGCCCACATTGTATTTTGAATGTCTCCAGGAAGACTTCTTATGTAGATTGGAGCATTCCAATGCATTGTTCCTTAAGTGCTTCCTGATTGGGCACTTAACTTTGTGAATTCCTTTCTGCAGGAACTGACCAAATGCTCTACTAAAGTTATTTAGAAATCAAGCCAGTACATGGCCAATATTCATAACTTTGAATACAAAAATGATACATGCATACAAATAGGATTATAGATTCAGTAGATCATAACCTTTACATAGATATGTTACATGACATATGTCACACAGAACATATTCCAGTTATGTCATATATATTCATAAGCATATTTCCATAAAGCCTTATGGGGGGCACCGTCACAGTATGCAGCAGGGTTCAAGGCTGGTACTCATGAGACAAAGGAGTTCTGGTGTCTAGCGCTACTTTTCATAGAATCATAGAACTGGAAGGGACCTCAAGAGGTCATTTAGTCCAGTCCCCTGCACTCAAGGCAGTATTATCTAGACCATCTTTGACAACCTGCTCTTAAAAATCCCCAATGATGGAGATTCCACAACCTCCCCAGGCAATTTATTCCAGTGCTTAACCACTTTGACAGTTAGGAAGTTTTGCCTAATGTCCAACCTAAACCTCCCTTGTTGCAATTTAAGCCCATTGCTTCTTGTCCTATCCTCAGAGGTTAAGAAGAACAATTTTTCTCCCTCCTCCTTGTAATAACCTTTTATGTACTTGAAAACGGTTATCGTGTCCCCTCTCCGTCGTCTCTTCTCCAGACTAAACAAACCCAATTTTTTCAGTCTTCCCTCATAGGTCATATTTTCTAGACCTTCAATAATTTTTGTTGCTCTTATCTGGACTTTCTCCAATTTGTCCACATCTTTCCTGAAATGTGGCACCCTGAACTGACACAATACTCCAGTTGAGGCCTAGTCAGTGCGGAGTAGAGCGGAAGAATGACTTCTCGTGTCTTGCTTACAATACTCCTGCTAATACATCCCAGAATAATGTTTGCTTTTTTTGGCACAGCATTACACTGTTGACTCATATTTAACTTGTGATCCACTATGACCCCCAGATTCTTTTCCGCAGTACTCCTTCCTAGGCAGTCATTTCCCATTTTGTATGTGTGCAACTGATTGTTACTTCCTACATGGAGCACTTCGCATTTGTCCTTATTGAATTTCATCCTATTTACTTCAGACCATTTCTCTTTTTGATGTCATGTTTTACAATACTATGTAAAAGCAGATGGAGACTGTTCTAAAAGAGAGCTACCCAAGAAAAAAAAAACTTTGATTGTATGTTTCGTACGTGCATTAAAAATATTAAGAAAGTTGTCCTAATAGATGGCTAGCATTTAGGCCGATTTGTACGTTGCTGGCTCTGACACTTGAGATTCTTTAAAAAAGAGCACTCACAGAAATTCTTATGCATTCTGTCATTTGCTTCTTTGGTGTGCTCACTGCTACCTTAGAATAAAGTGCCAGAATCAGTCAACTGCAATACAGCTTTATAATTACAACCAAACCAAGTGAGGTTTTGATAGAAAAATAATAGTCCTATCCCTCGTTCACGTTCCCAAGCACTAAGATAACAAATGATTTATATTAGCGCACTAGATGCATATTAATTTCATAGGCAGTGTCAAGGAATTTTCCTGATTCTCGTGGCAAAGATGCAAGCAGATTGTTTAACAGCACGGAATACAGGCATTGCCATTGGGATGAAAGCTCTGAATAATAGTAGCAGCTTAGCCCTCCAACGAGTTTATATTTCCCAGAAAAATTCCTGCAGCTGCTCAGAGATATGGTCATTCTGCATTTTGTGGTTTAGAGAAATTCAATGGAAGATGGCTGCCAAGAGACATACACTGTCTCGCAGCGTGCAAGCAGGCAGCAAAGTACACTGCTATGCAGAATTTGTCTGGGGAGAGCGCCCAGCAAATTGGACAATAGAATGGGGACTTAGAAGCAGATTAGCAAGGTCTTGCTCAGACAGTGCGCAAAAATGTGTCATTGATTTGCTATCTAGCTGGCTTTGAACCCCTGCTAAAGTGAATGAGAATTGTATGCCCTTGAGCGGCTATATCCTCATCAAACCAATGAGACAGCTAATCCACCTTTACTTCTGTATTACTTATTTAAAAAGACCAGCCATGGGCTAAAAATGTAAGACTGTTTTCCTGTAAAAGCAGCTATATAAATGGGGATACCAGGCCAAGACCCTTATTTCAGTGATCGATTACTCTGGTCTATTTCAGAGATTTGGGCTTAATTCTCCACTGTGCCCAAGTGGAAAGATCCCCCAAGGACCTTAAGCCAGCTGAGAACTGGATATATCAGAGCCTAGCTCTGCCTCCTCCCCTTCCCTCACATGCTCTGTCTTCTCCTTGCCTCTGAGAAGGCTTTGCTTTCCCTTATGCCATGCAGTGGGTTCCAGCACAGTAGATGGCTGATGCAGAAGGAAGCAGAACCATCACTGCCACTGGGGATATTCCTTTGGCTGTTTCAAGTTCACTCTGTGCTGCATAGGCAGCAGGGCCGGCTCCAGGCACCAGCCCACCAAGCATGTGCTTGGGGCGGCGCCTGGAGGGGGGTGGCACGGCGGGGCGCTCTGGCCCGAGAGCGGGGCCGCGACTGGGCTCGCCGCCCTTCCCGCAGCGCTCCGGCCGCCGGGGAGAGTGGAGCCTCAGCGGGCTCGCCGCCCTCCCCTGGCGCGCCAGCCGGTCGGGGAGAGCGGGGCCCTGGCCGGGCTCGCCGCCCTCCCCCCAGCGCTCCGGCCGCTCGGGGAGAGCGGGGCCGTGGCGCTCTGGACGCCGGGGAGAGCGGAGCCCCAGCGGGGCTCGCCGCCATCCTCCCGGCGCTCTGGCCACCGGGCAGAGCAGAGCCCCGGCCGGCTCGCCGCCCTCCTCCCGGCGCTCTGGCCGCTGGGGGCTCTCCGCCTTCCCCCTGGCGCTCTGGCCGCCGGGGAGAGTGGAGAGCCCTGGCCGGGCTCTCCGCCCTGCCTCCAGGCGCTACTGGCCACCGGGG